CGGTTCTTGTAGTGGTGGCTTGGTAATGATGAATTATTTCAGAATTTGTTAGTCTGAGAAAGACTGTATTTTCCTTCATATGTGATGCTTAATTTCACTGGATACAAAATTCTTGGCTGATAATTGTTTTGTTTGAGGAGACTGAAGATAGATAGGGCCCTAGTCCCTTCTAGCTTGCAGGATTTCTGCTGGGAAGTCTGCTGTTAATCTAATAGTTTTCCTTTATTGGTTACCCTGGTGCCTTTGTCTCACAGTTCTTAAAAGCTAATTTTTGTATTTTTAGTGGTGACAGGGTTTCACCATGTTGGCCGGGCTGATCTCGAACTCCTGACCTGGTGATCCACCCACCTTGGCCTCCCAAAGTGCTGGGATTACAGGCATGAGCCACCAGGCCTGCCCAACAAAATCAATTTAATACAAAAACTATACTTTTGTATTTTCCAGTTTTTTATTGATGTTAAAAACTATATTGTTTTTTATTGCATATCTATTAACAGATTTATGGAGATTTATTTTTTGTCATATAGAATAACTTTAAAGGTTTTATGCACCATCATTAGGAGAGTAAATATCTATGTATGTGTATTTACATTTAATAGAGAACTTTATATTTATATATGGTTTTATGCTGTCCAGCATCATTGTTTTTTTCCCAAAATAATGAACTCATTTTAGCATTTCTGTTTGTTTATATGCAGAGTCTCACTATGTTGCTCAGACTGATCTTGAACTCCTGGTTTCAAGTTATCTTACTGCCTTGGCCTCCTAAAGCTGTAAGGTTACAGGCCTAAGCCACTTTGCCAGGGCACTATGTAGCATTTCATGTGGAACTGTGCAAGACATAATGAACACTGTCACCTTTCATTTTGAAAAGTCTTTATTTTATCTTGTTTTTAAAGTAAACTAATTTTGAATCAAGTATACTGGTTAGGAATTTTATTGCTACATCAAAATTTGAATGTTCTCAGACTTTTTTTGTCTGCAAGTAACCTTTAGGTTACTTTTTCCCTATATTTTTCTTCTAAGAGTTGTTTAATGAATATATTGAAGTATTTGATGTTGTCCAGTAAGTTTTACTTTTCATGTTTTAATTTTCTTTTGCAATTTTATATTTTTGTGTTATGTATTTTAGGATATGCCACCTCACATGAGTTAATTCTGTTTTGATTTTTTAGGTTATATTATAATTGTATATGCCAGTATTTGTACAATTTAAGACAGTATGGAGTAAAGTCAAATATGAATCAGCCCGTATGTCTACTGCTAATATAATGATCTCTGTATGTGTTTACCTGCATAAATATTATCCTTGTACTTTTTATGACTTGTATATTTCTGGTATAGATTTGTTGCAAATGGTTATTTAATCTTGTCAAGGTGAGCAGTCATAAAAATTCCCCTAATTTTGACATCCATTTATTTGTCAATGTATATTATTTTTGTGTGGGAAAAAAACTTTTCTATTTAAAGATAATTTTAAAACTATAGTAACTTTGTGTCTCTTTTAGTTATTATTGTCTATTTTTACTTGTCAAAAATATAACATTTACAATAGAATATTTTAAAATATTTAATTTAGTACTGTTAATTATATTGACATTGTTATGAAACATATTTCTACAATGTTTTTATCTTGCAAAGCTAAATATCAATACACATTAAACAATTACCAATTTTACCCACTTCCTGGCACTTTTCAAACACCACTCAATTTTCTCTTAAGTGAATTTCAATTCACTCAATTTTCTCTTAATCTTCTTTTAACTGTGCTTCATATGTCTCATATAATCTCTGTCTTTTTGTGACTGGCTCATTTTAGTTTGCATAATGTCATCAAACTTTATAGTTGTTAGAATATTTCCTGCTTTATAAATATAGGGGATATTTAAGTATTTTATATTTTAAGTTATATATACTGAGTAATTTGGTGACAAATTTGCATTGCTTTTACCTATTGGCTTTCAGTAACAATGCTGCAATGATTACAGATATTCAAATGACTCTTGTCATATATGTGAAAGTTTATATATATGCTGCATTTTATTCTACTAGGGTAAACTTTTACCTTTTGTACTCATACCAAATTGTTATAATTCTGTAGCTCTGTAATGTGTTTCAAAATCAGAAACTGGAATGCTTTCAAAATTGTTCATTTTATTGAAGATTTTGGGGTAGTTAAGATTTTACATACTTTTGGGGCTGCTGTTTTTATTCAAAAATGCATTGAGAAATTTGAAAAACATTGCACTAAGTCTGTAAATTACATTGAACAGTATAGACATTTTCACAAGATTATTTTAACCTTTGAAGTGAAGCGTGCTCAAGAGTGTATTGTTTAATTTCTATGTGTTTGTGAATTTTTCAGTTTTTTCGTCTTACTGTTCTGTACTCTCATTTCATTCTGATCATAGAAAATAATCCATAAAAATTTCGTTTTACAGAATCCATTAAGACTTTTTTTTTTGTTCTACCGGGTTGTCTCTCAAGGAGAAGATTGTATGAGGTATTGAGAAGACTTCGTATCATGATGATATTGAGACATAGGTTCTCTATGCCTCTGTTAGAAATAATTGTTTTATACTCCCTTCAAGCTCTCTGTTTCTTTGCTAACTTTTGTCTTTTTAACATTTTTATTACAGAAAGTGAAGTATTAAAATATCCTACTATGTATTTCTTTCATTCTGACAATATTTGCTTTATATATTTAGAAACTTAATGTGAGATACATGCACACACGCAGGTGCGCACACACACCCCTATATGCAAATTTGTCATTGGTTCCCAGTAAATGCATCTATTATTGTTTAATCTTTTTCTTTGTCTCTTTGGAGTTTTGACTTCAAGTATATTTTATAAAATATGACAGTTTTTGACTTAAGATGTATTTTGTGTAATATTATTTTGACCTCTCATTTGGCTAATATTTGCGTGAAATGTCTATTTTTGTCATGCCACTTTCAGTCTCTGTTTATCATTAGATCTCTGCTGATCCTTGTAAAAAGGCAAGTTGAATCTTGGTTTTTAAAATTCTTTAACAAATCCCTTTAATGAAAGTATGTCTTTTGATTGGAAAGTTAATTTTACATACACACATGCATGCACGCATGCACATATATTTAGATAATTTTCTGAAAGAGAAAGACTAATGTTATTTTAATTGTTTTATTTGATTCTTCTACCTTTGTCCCTGATTTTCTGTTTCTGTCATCCTTGGTGTCTTGTTGATTTTTGTACTGAAATGCTTTCACTTCCTTCCTGTTTTCTCTTGTATATCTGTACAGATATTTTCTTTGTGGTACCTTGGGGATTACATAAAACCTCTAAAAGACACAATAATACATTATAATCTGGTAGAAAAATTAACTTCCCTTGCATACAAAAATTCTTTTCATTATATCTACCCTGAATTTTGTTATTAATGTTGCTAATTTTTTCTTTCTATGTTAGATATTTATTAATAGATATTTATAATACTTTATGATTGTATCATTCAAATTTTAGAGAACAATTAATGTTTTCTGCACCATTATGATAATGCTAAGGATTTCTATTCATGTATGTGCATATCTTTTTCATAAAGTTACATATTTTTATGTGATAATGTGTTGTTTTCTTTCATCATTATTTTTAGTGGAAGAAACTGCTTTCAGCATTTTTTTATGTGTAGGGAATTTGCAGCACCAATAAACTTTTTCAGAATTTGGTTATTTTGGTAGTTTTTTTTCCTTTTTATTTTGTAGGACAGATTTACTGATGGTATTATTCTCACTTGATATCTATTTTTTTCATGACTTTGACTATATCACACAGTTCTCTTCTTGCCTGCAAAATTTTCTTGACAAATTCACTGGTTTCTTAAAAAGACTATACTTGTAAATGACATACTATTTTTATACTGCAGCTTACAAGATTGTTTTCTTGTCTGTGACTTCTGAAATTGTGCTTATATGTGTGTTTATTATAAATATCATTGTGTGTATCCTAATTTTTCTTTTTGAGCTTCATTTGTACATTTTTTTCTTATAGGATTTTTCTGTTATTTTTGTATTTTTTACCTCCACAATTTCTGTTATTTGATATTTTTTGTTATCCTCATTTTTTTCTGATTTTCAATAAGTTGTCTGTTTTCCTGTTTCACTTATTGACTAATACTGAATTTATTTTAAAATTTTAAAATTAATATATACATTTTCTTTTTTATGGTTGTTTCTAAAAATATTGCCCTAATATCTTGTATACATGGCATCTTTGATTGAGATTTGGATATTTTTTAAAAACTACCTGTCACAATGTTTATAATGTAGCTTTGTCTTGGCATACTCTGAAAACAATTTTCTTGGCTAGAGATTCTAGGAGTCTCTTAAATATATTCTTAGGATGTGTCTTTTCTGAATTTTTTTTTTTTTTTTAGTTAAAGCAGTTTATTTGTGTCTTTTTAATAGTAATTATTTGCTATACCTTTTTTCTGTCTGTGGTACTGCAGTCTCTCTGCTGCTGTAACATTTATATTTGGTTTCAGCAGACTCAAACTGTCATTCCAAATTATAATACCATTTCTGTCAGCACTTTATGTTATGGGACACAATAGCCAGTGTCTGAAAAGGTCCCTAGAAGCCATATGTAAATATGTGTGTGCTACTATTTTTCTTTTAAATAAGAATCCAGGAGTTGGCAATTTACTTCTAAAAGCACTGTGTTATATTGGGAGCAGGAAGAGCTGTGTTGGGTAAACGTAATAAACTTATTTTTTTTCTTTTATTTGGCTCTTTGCATTGTGGACACTGGGGCAGGACACACACTTCACTCATTCATAAATTTTCAAATGTATTTTGGTCAGTATGTTTTTGTTACATTTATATGTCGGTGAAAGAATTGGGGCCTGTGGTACTTTGCTATGTCATTTTGCTTATATAGTTTGTATAATTTGATAGGTTTGATTTGTAAAGTATATTCATCTCAGTGTAGCAAGTGGAGTAATTTGTTATTTTAATGTCTTTCAGTTATGTGTTCTCATTTTGCTGAAGACCTTTGGCCAGAGCACAGAATAAAAGATTCTTTCCAAAAAATGATACTGAGAGGATATGGAAAATGTGGACATGAGAATTTACAATTAAGAATAAGCTGTAAAAGTGTGGATGAGTGTAAGGTGTACAAAGGAGGTTATAATGAACTTAACCGATGTTTGACAACTACCCAGAGCAAAATATTTCAATGTGATAAATACATGAAAGTCTTTCATAAATTTTCAAATTCAAATAGTCGTAAGATAAATACTGGAAAGAAATTTTTCAAATGTAAAGAATGTGGCAAATCATTTTATATGCTTTCACACCTAAAACAACATATAAGAATTCACACTAGAGAGAATTCCTACAAATGTGAGGAATGTGGCAAAGTTCTTAACTGGTTCTCAGAGCTTATTAAACATAAGAGAATTCATATGGGAGAGAAACCCTACCAATGTGAAGAATGTGGCAAAGCCTTTAACCAATCCTCAACCCTTATTAAACATAAGAAAATTCATATTGAAGAGAAACCCTACAAATGTGAAGAATGTGGCAAAGGGTTTAGTTTATTCTCAATCCTTAGTAAACATAAGATAATTCATACTGGAGACAAACCTTACAAATGTGATGAATGTCACAAAACCTTTAACTGGTTTGCAACCCTTACTAACCATAAGAGAATTCATACTGGAGAGAAACCCTTCAAATGTGAAGAATGTGGCAAAGATTTTAACCAGTTTTCAAACCTTACTAAACATAAGAAAATTCATACTGGAGAGAAACCCTACAAATGTGAAGAATGTGGGAAAGCTTTTAACCAGTTTGCAAACCTTACTAGACATAAGAAAATTCATACTGGAGAGAAATCCTACAAATGTGAAGAATGTGGCAAAGCTTTTATACAATCCTCAAACCTTACTGAACATATGAGAATTCATACTGGAGAGAAACCCTACAAATGTGAAGAATGTGGCAAAGCTTTTAATGGGTGCTCCAGCCTTACTCGACATAAAAGAATTCATACTAGAGAGAATACCTATAAATGTGAAGAATGTGGCAAAGGCTTTACTTTATTTTCAACCCTTACTAACCATAAGTTAATTCATACCGGAGAGAAATCCTACAAATGTGATGAATGTGGCAATGTTTTTAACTGGCCCGCAACTCTTGCTAATCATAAGAGAATTCATGCTAGAGAGAAACCCTACAAATGTGAAGAATGCGGCAAAGCTTTTAACCGGTCTTCACACCTTACTAGACATAAGAAAATTCATACTGGTGAGAAATTCTACAAACCTGAAAGATGTGACAATGATTTTGACAACATCTAAAACTTTTCTAAACATAAAAGAAACCATCCTGTTGAGAAACCCTAAATATGTGAAGAATTTGACAAAGCCTTCCAATGATTGTTACACTTGATTGTAAGTAAGATAATTTTTTTTTTTTTTTTTTTTTGAGACGGAGTTTCGCTCTTGTTACCCAGGCTGGAGTGCAATGGCGCGATCTCGGCTCACCGCAACCTCCATCTCCTGGGTTCAGGCAATTCTCCTGCCCCAGCCTCCTGAGTCGCTGGGATTACAGGC